GGAGAAAAATAGACTATTCAGTAAATGGTTCTGGGACAGGTTTTCATATCACATGCTGAGATCAGTTTCATTTGGAATAAAAGTTCAAATATAAAAAGCAAAATTTTACCTTCCCTTTTTTTGTAAAATTTGAAGTCTCTTCTTATAAAAAGAAATCTCTCAGCAAACCAGCAAAAGATGGGAACATCCCTTATTTTATAATAGATATCTAAAAAATGCCTACAACTAAAACTACATAATGTGGGAACACTGAATGCTTCCCGTTGAATTAAAACATGGATATCACATCAGTAAAGAACTTGTCTTTATGTTTAAATTATACCAGTAGCTATTTAATATTTTATAACATTAGATCCTTTTCAGTGTGGAAGCATTGTTTCTCAGTGGCCCTAAACAATTATCCTCACTTAGTCTTTGCCATGTAAAGATGCTTTGCTGAAACTGTTCAGTGTTGAGATATAAAAACACAACCAATATTTAGTGCAGCAAGAATTAGTATGCTTTCACCGAAGAAGCTAACAGTTCCACTGTGGAGTATCTCTAACAGTTAGATTATTTTAGGGCTTCAGGGAAACCCTTTCCAATTTTGATTTGAAATTCTGTGATGCACTGTGTATCACTGCCAGCAAAACTAAAAGCAGTGATGTCCCTTCTGCATTTCTGAATCTGTAATCATAAGAAGAAAACATGCCTCTCTGATAGGCCTGTCTCATGGTCCTTTGGCACAAGAAACAAGACGACCTCAAATGATGTGAAATTTAAGTAAAGAGTGTTTGGAAAGAAAATGTAATATTGTCTCAGCAAGAGTCCAAATTCCTTTCGGGCTTACTGGCAATAGGATAGATTAGTTAATGATGATAAATTCACCTCATTTCTTTCTTGATGTGAAACAAAATTCAAACCATTGATTGGTAAGCTGTGTCAGAAAAATGGGGGTAGAAAATTAACCCTTCCACATTCACTATGGCAACAATAATGTATACAACAAAAGGTGGATAGGAAGCTGAAGCTGATAAAGTAGCTATTGCCTGTGCAATGCTGGGTCCATATTTTGTTAGTGGTTACAATAATTCTTCCTATTACGTACTTATTATTAGTTAAGTGTTTGCCTTGAGCCAAACCCATGTCAACAAGTAGGAGGCAGAATCATATCCATTTGTGGAGTTTCATAATCCTGAAAAATATTTAGTATTAAAAATTCAGGATACCATTATTCTTAAAGAAAAAGAATTGAAGGCCACCATATTAGCAATTTTTTTAAAAAGGTTTATTTATTCATACAGAACTGGGGTACAGGCCAGAGATGCGGAGGGTGAGAGGATTCACCAGAGACAGAGTGGGGAGCAGAACAGGCAGATAAACGAAGTACACTGCTGAGGGAAGCAGCAGGTGGGCCAGGAGAGGTCTGCCTCGCCATGTGGATCTCCTCCAGGCAGGTGGGGATCGAACTCATGCAAAAGTGGCTTAAGCCTCCCAGTGCAGTGCTTTAACCTGCTGCACCACCAGGGAGGGCCATATTAGCAATTTTAAGGAAAGAATTTCTTAATCGAATATTCTAGGAAACTGGTTACTAAATAATCTTATTAATTTAAGAATATTCCAGCTAAATATTAATAGCATAATTGCTTATAATATTGTAAAAAGCCATTCCAAATGTGGAGCCAGAAGTAGAAACACATCTTGAAACAGAAAAGGGGCTCTTCTGAATTGTTGACTTAGCTTACCATCAGCTACAAGTACTTTGTACTTTCTTGACTCCACCAGCAGATGTCGCTGTGAAGTAGACTAAGACCTGCAGAGTGCGTCTTGGTGGTAAACCTGAGAACTCACTTTACCTCCACGTAAGAGGATCTTTACATTTGTTTATTTATTTGCATTTTTGTTTGGTTGCTTATTTGTATTTAAACCGTGGGGGAAACATTTTTTGACATGAATTTTTATTTTAAATAATTTTACAGAAAATACTTTTAGGAACATTACTTTTTTTAGTATCTTCATAATTCTTTGCCACAAGGTAGGCAACTTCTTGTCTAATCTGAGAATCAAAAATATTCGCTGGCAGTCTCACTTTCTTACATATCACAGGTGATGGTGCTGGATTTCTGACTCCCCGTACATCAAGTTTTCTTCTCCACCCCAGACTTATTATATAGAATGTAAGGATTCCCCACTCTGGGTTTTCAAGTCCATTGAATCCAGGAGTAGATAAATGAAGATAGATGATTACTTTGACCAAGGTTTTTAGCTTCACAAGGGCTATTTCTTAATCAGCTAGAAGAAAGTTCTGCTAACATTTAACTTTATAAACTTCTCATAGAAGAACTTGTAATGTAAATTTAAATATGAAATAAAAATAAATTCTAATTTCTTCTGATTTGGAAATATAATTCTTTAATAAAAGGAAGTACGTGTAAATACCAAGCTCTAAAATTCCATAATCTTTACCTAGGAGTTGAATGTTCAGTATATAACATAGCAGAATTAATATTTAATTGAAGGCCCATTCAATTAATAATTAATTGAAAGCCAATTAATTCTTAATTGAAAACCATTAGTTCAACATGCTGAAATAAGCTAGCATACTGTTATTTCCTTTTAGATAGTTTATCTGTTTTATACATTCCCTAATTCTTTTTTCTGATTGTATATATTCTAAAATCCAATGGATGTCATTTAAAAAAAAAAAGTTAACCAACTTCTTGAAAATTTGATAAATGTATGTTCTAAATAGGCTTTGAGTATCTTGAGGAAATAAAGTGCATGGCCTTTTTAATTTAAACAAGTTGCTTTACTGTTCAGGATTAAGTTAGGTGGTCAGCCAATAGTGGACTAAAGAAACTGGAAGTGTCTTTCTTCCCCATAAGATAAGTGCAGGCAGCTCAGGGATAGCATGTCAGCTTTACCCCACCCAAGACCCAGGTTGCTATATTACTCTATTAAACCTCATAGTCTAAGATGGTTGCCGAAACTCCAGCCATCATTACCATATTCCAATCAGAAGAAGGAAGGGAAAAAAGAACCAGTTGTTATTTCAGTACCAAGTGGTAATTATAGTATAGGGCTGTAACCAGCTTCTACAGGGCTGAGAACTTAGCCTTTACTCCAAATGGCCACATGTGCAATTAACACTAGGATTCTGCATCTCAGGAAGAGAGGGTAGTGGATGTCAGGGAATTTCTATCCTGACTCAGCATTGTTGCAATGAAAGTTTTACCTTTAAAACCCCAGTAATTATTTTCTTCCATTTGTTTGTTCTCTCCCCTCCACATGTAATTCCCATAAAAATAAAAAGCTCCTTGCATCTAAGCCTGCCAGCATATAAGTTTGGACGTTTCTAGGCCTGCAAGAGAGTCTCTTGAGCAGCTATAATTCATACAAAAATGCTCTTTACTTAAGGATGGGTCCAGTATTTCTCCTAGCTGAATATACACATCATACAGGAAATGGCTAAGCCTACCTATGGTCACTGGGCCTGCAACCCTGACTCAGGTCATCTCCAAGGCCCTGAGAACTCATATTGGAAACAATTCCTAGAAATCCACCAGTCTGCCTTTGTGGGTCTCATGAGTGAAATGAAGCTATACCAACAGCATGAGAATCTTTAAAGATTCCTGGATTCCTGGAATTTTGTGACTGAAAGACACATTAAGAATCCAACCTCCCCCCCCCCTTTGAGAAGAACCAGAGGGATTAAGGACCTGTATTCTCCAAATCTCATGAACAGAAGACAATCTATGTTTTTCAGGACCTTTGTTAAGGAGACATATTACTGAGGTTCTACCATATTTCCAGCTAATGGTCAGAGGTGGTTCTGTGACATTCTTCTGTCATCCTGGACAACCTTTCAAGAGCACCAATGTAATCAAGTGTTCCTTCTCCTGTGCAGTCTGAAGGAACTTTACTGTGAGCTCATTCACATGTGTGTAAGAGAATGGGATATACTTTAAGGGCAGGAGTCAGTGCTTCTTTCCAGAGTCTTCCAACTTCCCAGTCTGAGCCATCTCTGCAGACATCACACGATTCTGGGGAACTCTGTTAATTTGCATTTTTTTCCTGTGTCACTCAGGATGAAAATCTGTGTATGCTCTTGGAAACATCACACTGAAAGAGACCTAGAGATCATTTTCTCAATCCCTGATATCTCCATGAAGAAAGCTAAGTCCCCAAAAGATGAGTTGATTTAGTCAAGATACATTTCTTAATTAAGACTGATAGGAAACCAAATGCTAAAGAATTCTATGATACATTTCTAACAATATTAACTATTACTATTAGTAACATAGTTTCATACCTGAAAATTTTCTGCTTTTGATGAAAGAAAGAAAAGTGTGGACTTATTCCAAAATGTATTTAAAACTACTAGTTACATGACATAAGCTGTTTTATAAAATATTTTATTTACAGTAGAGCTTTACAAAAATATTCTTAATAAAATTAATACAAAACCATTTGACAATATAACTTATATAACTATCTTCTCAAAAAAAATGACAATCCACTACGACACATAAACTACACTTGTATCTGTTAAGTCACATTGTAGTATAAATATGTTTTATGATTTATTTTAAATAATAAGGGACATGCCTTATTATAACAATGGACAATGGATGACAAATGTTATTTCATTATTCCTCCAATGTAAAAGTCATCTCTGGCCAAAACATAAAAATCAGCCAGAGAAAAGTAAAACAAATGTCCTTCTGTTCAATAATACAGTCCTTTTTAATTATTTGAGTTTATCTGACAAAGACACACATTAATCTGAAAGCACCATGGCATAAAGTCTAGTCACAATATTCCCCAAAGCCTTCTCCCATGTCTCCCCTTCAATCGTTTATTCAGTATTTTGCCAAGATAAATAAAGATTGATCTCAACTCTCCCCTTCATTAGTCTCAAGTGTTCGTAATATGCATGGACCGTTTCAGACCCTCCCAACTGGCATGCATTTCTTTCTTGGGAGTTTCTTTCTTTGGCTTCAAGTAGAGTTTCACAATACTTAGGAAACATACTGAGCTCCTCCATGGGGCTGAATCTCCGTGACTCCCCAGCCAACGACGTTGCCCCGTATGTGACAGGACTCTGCTCCCCCAACCTCTCTTATCTCTTCCTTGCTGAGGGCTCGGTCCCAGATATTAAAGCCTGTGAGTTGACCAGAAAAGGCCAAGGTTTCCTCAAAGCCTCCACCCACGCAGCAGCCGTTCTTCTCCTGACCGATCTGCAGAATTCCTCCCTCTGGGACAACGTGCCCCAGGGCCATGTCTACAGCGGTGGCAACCAGCTCACCATCCACCCATAGGGACCCGAGCCCTTTCTCTGAGCTCCAGGTGCTGCACAGATGGGCCCACTTGCCCAGGGCAACCACGGTTTCAGCGGCCAGTTTGTTCTCCTTGCCACCCACCACCAACACTACAGACTGAGCGCTGAGGTACAGCTGGATCTCATAGGGGTTCCTCTTGGTGCCATAGGAAAAAAGTACAGTTTTGTTTAGCACATCTGTGGCTTTGACCCAAATGCAGGCACTGAAAGTCTGCAGCTTCATTGGGATAGCTGGATACACACTCCCAAAAATCTTCTTGGACCGCATTGGGAATAAAATAGCTGTTTCACAACCTAGGGTAGCAAAATAGTGAGAATTTGAGAAAAAATACAAATTCAGTTAGAAGTGATTCATTCACGCATTTAGGCACTTTTTAACCTAGAGTTTTCATGATTACGTCAAAATATTGAAAAATAGGTGGAGGTCATGTCATGACATGAGGAACATCAAGTAGAATCACTGTACAGCAAAGTAAACAAAAATAGGTTAACCTAATTGTTGTTTTCAATGAGGCATCAAAAGGGAAAAGGAGTGCCGAGAAGACAAATTGTCCAACCCGCAAAATAATGAAAACCATGTTTTAATAACTATTTACCTTCCAATTTGTTTATTTCCTTTGTTACAGCTTTAAAAAAAAATGCCAAATCATTATGCATTAACTTCAAACAAGGATACTCTAATTTCCAAGGCCTTAGAGCCAAACTTGTTTCTCTCTTAACTTCATGAAGTTCTGGAATAAAAACCCAGTGAAATCCAATAGACCCAGCTCACCCCAGCCAGCTACTGTCAACATGCATTTTTCTGATCACCTTATGTCATTATAATGCTCATGTCAACCCTAAAAGACAGTCTTATATTTACCATTTCACAAATGAAAGAAACTGAGATGGGTGAGCTAAGCTAGTTGTTTGATAATGCTTACAGAGCTAGTAGATGGCAAACTCGAATCCACACTGGGGTGCTCTGGCTTACACCCTTCACCAGCACCTCATATTCTCTTAATGGTAGGGGAACCCTGGATCTGTCTGGAAGACTGGGGTCCAGTTTATTTCACCACTAGTAAGCCATGCAGCTTTTTATGAGTGCCATAATCTTTCTAGGTTTATAGCTATCTGTAGGTATATAGTTATCCAGGTCTACAGTTATTGCTCTATTAAAGTTTCTCCCATGCTCCTCCTAGCAGTCTGCAAGCTTGTAGGCAACACGTATCCTTCAAAAAGAATCAGTAGACTGAAGACAGGTCTAAAAATACTTTCTTTGTCCATAGGCTTATAAATACTACTAAAACATTAATAGAGAAACTTTAAGGGAGAGTGTATTCTCCCAAGGGGCCTGATGAAGAACATATTTCTGCTAATGAGTACTTAGAAGGCTTTCCAACCTGGCAGTCAGAAGCTAGTAAACTTCACCTCTGTGCATCTCCAGATCATAGCCCTCAGGGATCTGAAAGAAGACCTCTGGGTATCTGCAAAAATGATGTTTATGCCTCTATCACATATGTACGAAAGACCAGAAAAAGAAAGATACTTTTAAAATCTGATTTAGAGCCCAGTAGCCATTTTATAACAGCCTAAAGAAGATTTGCTGTAAGGTAGCTTCCAGAATTTAAAATAAACTGGTACAAAGAAACTACAGGACCCAAACATCAGTGTCAAGTGTGGTAACCTCGTAAAACATCTCCAAGTGGGTGATGCTCTGTCCTAAAAACATTAACAAGTGTGGCCCAAGAAATAGTCAAAGAAGATTCTGAAACAGAAAGATCTATGAGAATCACTAAAATGCCAAAGCACAAAATTGGTCATATCACAGGCTTTAACGTTCTCACAGAAGAATTTGAATTTTTGAAGACTTTTTAGATTAATCTTTATTGAAGCATTGATTCCTTTTCAAATGAAATTGGTAGGTTCATTTTTCTGGCTGTGTTAATTAAATCAAACAAAGCTTGTGGAACAAAAGATCACCCATATGCACAGGCATTTGAGATAGTTCTGTAATGTTTCAGTAAAGTAGTGTTCACATGGGTTCCCACTGCAATCTAATTAACTGATTTCCTGTTTAAATAGGCCCAGCAGTGGGACTGCATTCCAAAGCATTCTCTGATTGTTGCTCAGAGACCAGCTTCCCCTCTATGGCTGCACTGGCTTCTGTGAGCTCATGAAGTGGAACTGTGTTGTCAGGTTTCTTTCAGCTTCTTTTGGAGACTAGTGATGGAGGCTCTTGATACCTCTTCAAAATGTCAGAAACTCTCTCATGAAATGGCTTTTAACTAATAGGGTTTTCTGATTACACTATCAAAGACCAAACAAAATTAAAACCAGGTTCTTAGGAGGCTGACAACGGAATGATTAGGAATCTCTTAGGAGCCAAGCTGGCAGGAAACCAAGAGAGGAGAAATCAAAGCATGTGGTTAAAGTATTATTGGATGTAATGAATTAACATTTTAGAATTCAGAAATATGTCCCTCTTCTGCTCCAACTAGTGTGCAGAGGTATAAGCATGAAACTTAGTGTTAATTTTTCAGTTTTGCTGATGAGTTATATGTACAATGACTATATGAATTGAAAAAGACAAGAAATTTCACCCATAAATATAGCCACAGAATTATCTCTTTGTTGCTTGTATTGAGGGCCAATCCATAATTGATTTTATGCTTCCCCTAATCTCCAAAGTCCTACTTGCTACTTCAGAAAATAAGCTGTACATTGATGAGCTCTCAAAAATTTAGAAAATCTGCTTGGTGTATTTTCTTCAATTTTAAAGGAAACACGCTCTCACACTTCTTTCTTAAGATTCTTCCTCCTGCTCCATCCAGTAAGAGCTATTTCCTTTTTCCAAATCCCTCAAGGAAAATGTAAGTTGTATTTTCTTATCTAGGATATTAGGTTTTCTAATAGAACCATCAACGATGGTGCATCACCACTTCTTAGAAAAAATTTTACTTACAAAAGTGTTACTTGGCTTCAAATCTTCTCTTTACATTTTAAATTACCTTTAAAATGTATTATTTCAGGCCCACCTGGGCTTGCCTTTGGAGAACCATAGATTCTGGCAAATTTGACAAGTTGCTTCTGGTCTGAACCACCTCTCTCCTGTCTAGTCCTGATCCTCCCTCGGGGTGGAGCCAGGGAACCAATTGGTTCTGCAACTGACTGTTCCACTTTTAGTTTCTCATCTGCGGGTTATCCCAAACAGCACACCCTCAAAGCTCCACTCAGGCACTAGTTCCTCTGACCTTGAGGGCTGGGGAGCCTGGGAATTTCATTAACTCTTCGAAAGATTAGACTGACTCAAATATCTTGCTTGGGATGGGGAGGAGGAGTCAGGCCAAAAATTTAAAAAAAAAAGACTGGCGGAACCAGAGCTCCCCTAAAGTGAGAGACTGACTAAAATTAGCAGGACTCCAGGGAGGTCAAGGTTCACACCAGCCATCCGAGCCCTTGCAAGTGCTTGGGATTTGGTGTCAGCCAGGACTTTCTATTTCAGGGTGCTGGTGGCTGTGCCCACCGCTGTAGTCTGGCTCTCTTGGTCTAGGGAAGACTTTGAAAAGTCATTTTTCTGCATGTATGGTGTGTCCGAGATCTGTGACGGTGCATGAGACTTAAAGGTGTGCGTGTGCCAGTGTGTGTGTGTGTGTGTGTGTGTGTGTGTGTGTGTACGCGCGCGTGCCCACGCGTACAGCGGGTGTGCATCTGTGCCCACACCCCTCCCCTGATTCCCCTTCAAAGCTCTCACAGCCTGCTGCAAGTCTTCCCGCCGGTCGCACCCAGAATAAAGCCGAGACCAAGACCCGGTCCTTACCTGCGGGCAGCCAACGCCTGGCAGCCCAGCCCTGCAGCGCTTGAAGGTCAGCGCGCGTCTTCCTCAGCTCCTCCAACACAGCTCCTAGGGCGCACCCCGCCGGCCCTGGGCGCTGAGCCTCCGAGCCCTCCAGGCGCGCCAGCCTTCGTCCAGCGTCGCGGCTCGCCTGCAGCAGCTCCTCCAGCGCTCGGGCCAGCCGGGTCTCCGCGGAGGCTGCAGGCGGACACGGTCTCGCCAGGCTGCCCGCTAGCCGGCCCAGCTCCGCCCGCAACCTCTGCATCTCGCCACGCAGGAGGTCGTCGGTGGCCTGCAGCAGCATGCCCTCGCGCATCTGAGAGTCCTCCAGCATGATGAAGAGCTTGTCCCATTCAGAGTGCTCCTGGCGACAGTCGCACGGCGTGGCTAGGACACATAAGTCGTTGCAAAAAGCTGACCTCCCTCTGTGATCTCATTACAGCCCACCCCAGTGCCTCTGCCCTTTAAGGGCACCTCTGAAAAGCCGCGAGTAAATACCCTGAGACTGAGGGAAACTATTCATACAAGTTCATATTAAGGTGAACTCTATGGAGTTTATGTAGCTCAAAACGGATATATCGGCTATTTCATGTGGTTCAAACTATTTGGCGTCCGCTACAGAAATAACTTTTTGAAATTCCCCTTTTCCTACAGTGTGTCTTTTGCAAAACAAGCTTGATTTTTTTTTTTTGCTTGTTTGTTTGCTTTAGTTCTTTTCACTAGCTACAAACTGCGTGATATTTAGACTCAAAGAGGTGGCTGGAAGTTGGAGTTAGCAGTGAAACAGTTAAAATGAACTTACGGTCCTCTGTGGGATGGAGTCCATTGTCTATTTCGTTGTCCAAATTCACATACATGAGCTCATAGTCATCCGCATTCTCAGCAGGCACCGCAGACCAGAGAGCACACAGCAGAACCGCCCGGAGATGCATGACTGAAGAGAAAGTTCTCTCGCGACTTCCCACAGCAAGAGGCTCCAGCGAGTTTGAGCAGAGCTGAGAGTGAGAGGCGGGCGCCCAGAGCCCGAAATAAATGCTGGGGAGTCTGAATGGGGATGAATGAGTGATGCCGGAACACCGCGCAACTGGAGTTCCCTGAATTTGGGGGGAGGGGAAAGGGGCAGTGAGACCCGGACGTTGCACAAGAGTAAACCACCGCAAAGGTTTGCGCAGCAGTCAGATTCATTGGAGGAGGGCCAGAGGGAAAAGAGGGGGAACCCTGGACTGAGATTGTCCCATGAGGAATCCCTGATGTAACTTGAATAGATGGCAGTGAGGGAAGGGAGGGAGGGTAAGGGTTAAGGGAGGAATCCTTCAGTGCGTGGAGGTGTGAAAGTAAGATCATTATCCCAACGTTTTGTCTGTGCTTTTATTCCACATTCCTTTATGTATAGAACTTTCTTCACTTTTCCTTTGTACAGTTTTACAGGTCAGAGCTGTGAAAATTCCTGCCTGATTCCCAAGATAAACCCTCATTGTAAGAACTTCTGTGGCTCTAGAAGTTCATTTCTAGTTGTCCCTTCTTTAATCTTGGAGGATTAAATACTTTCACAAACATGTTTTTCAAATGACAGCACTACAAAACTGGTTAAATCTAAACGAGAAAGAGCTGGGAAAGGAATACACTGCTATCAGACATGCTCCTTTTCGTAATCTGGCATCATGTGGAAGTTGTATTATTCTACTAACCTTGAATTACCATGGGAGAGCAAAGATTAAGCTAGGCTTAATTAGATGAGACCCTCACGCTAACCTGGAGCCTCAGAGAGTGACATTGGATTTCAGGGGATCTAGCCTCTCTCTGCCCTGCCCTGAAAAGAGAGAAGTTACTTTGTCTCTCTTTAACTGAACTCTAGGGGGGCTCCCTACACATGTTAAAGACGCAAATGCATACTATCAGCCATAGTGAAAATAAATTCACAGTAAACAATGTTTAAACATATGAGGAAATAATCCACTAAAATGAGAATCATCAAAACCAAAAAGAATTAGGTACTCCTTCCTCAAGAACTTTTACTTAAAACATCAGCTAGAAACTAGAAAATGGATGTACTTGAAATTATTTAAGAGCTACTAGTAGAAATTGGAAACATGATGAAAGAAAGAAAAAAAAAAAAAAAAGACTAGCCAGGCTTTGTAAAGAACAAATATAACCTTTAGGTTTTAAAAAGTGTATTGAAACTTTTAAAAGGGGGGGGGGAACCTTAAGGAATGGGCTAAGATGCAAATTAGGCAAAGCAAAACTGAAAATAATATTAGGGAACTAGAAGAAAGGTGTAAAAAAATGCAAAATTTGCTCTTCAATTTGGTATACTTTTCCAAATTCTTTCATTGTTCAGAGAAAAATAAAGAAATTATCAAGTTTGTTTTGTTAGTTCCATGATGTCTGTCTTTTTAAGGGTTGCTATCAAATCTGAATAGAAATAGAATGTTCAAATATAGGGTAGAGGGAATTATAAAACAACAACAAAACTTAATCTACTTAATGAAAAACCTGAAGGTAGAAGAAAGCATAAACAACCCAAGATAAACAAAAAGCACATAATAATGTGGCCAAATAATAATAATAATAACAACAACAACAATATGGTTAAAATAAATCCACATATATCAATAGTCACTAATAGCAAATATTAATGAAAACAAACTTTAAGAGACAAGGATTGTCAGATAGGCATAACTTTAAAATTCTCAGCTATCTGTCACCTTTTACAAGAGGCACATAAAACGTAAGAATCTAGAAATGTTGAAATATAAAAAACCTAAAAGAGAAGAAGGGAGACTATACCAAACACATGCTATTCAAAATTGTTAGCGTAGCTATCTTAACATCAGCCAAAAAGAATTTTTAAGGAAAAAGAGAATAATTGCAACAACAAAAAAATACTTTATCAGGAAGATAAATGTATGACCTACTAACATACATAGTTCATATCTATCATTGCATTGCATGTATATAATAAATATATCAAAGATTAACATTATAAGGGGAAATTGAAAAATAATGTAGTCATAATGGGAGATTTGAACTGCCTTTATCATAACTTATAAATTCACTTCGCTCATTACTGGTCATTCAAATGTCAAAAATGGAACCTACTTAAAGGTATCAAAACTTAAACATAATTTCAAGTTTGAGATAATGAAATATGTACAGCATTGACCAGAAGTTTTGATACGTGAGTTCTACCAAACATTCAAGGTACACATAATCCCTCTCTAATTCTAACTGCTCCTGAGAATAGTGTGCTGAAATGCACTAAGATGCACTAATGCATCTTTTTAGATGTCTAGTCTACAGTATGACACCAAATGGAAGCATGGAGAATACAAGGAAGGAAAATTGTACACTAGTCTCATTTAAGAATACAGACTCAAAAGCTCTAACTGAAATACTATCCAAGGAGATCCAGAGATATATGCATAAAAATACACCATAACCAAGTTGAGTTTATTCCAAGACTGCAGGCTGACTAAACACTAGAGTGTCTATTAATTTAGTACATTAACAATTTAGAGATTCATATAATCTTGTCAAGAGAGGCAGAAAAAATGTTTATTAAAATTCATCACTCATTCTGTTCATACACACACAAAAAGATCTTAAAATGTAAATACCAAAGACCCATAAAAACAAATCCATATATAATGTGAATTCTTAGAAACATACTGTTTAAACAAAAGGAGTAACAAAGGATAACCTTGGATACTCTTCATCAAAATACCAAAGTTCCCAGCCAGGAAGCTAGGACCAAAGAAGAGACAGAAGGAATAGGGATGGAACGAAAGGAGGAAAGAGAGGGAGGGAGGGGCAAAGGAAGGAAGGCAATTATCAATTGTTCTGAGTTGATATACAGTCCTGCTCTGTGTGATGGGACACATTCAAGATGGAAGGTGGTGAATGCCTATTGTCTAGTGGTGTCAGGCCCTCAAGGTGTTGTACCATGCACTAGCATTTTCCACAGGCAGCAGTCTCATTCACCTTGTGTTTCTTACTAGCATTGTTTTAGCCTTGTGCTTGATTTAATCTCGTTATATCCATGGTGGCTCTTAAACATACAAAATCCACTGCCAATGTTTCCCATAAGAGTGACTAATCTAAATGAAATTACAGATGATTAAGGACAACAAAAACAGAAAGTTAGTGATTGTTATTGCTGGCCAGTCAGGTCTGTCCCTTGCCATGGCTACAAACTTGAAGAATGAGAACCATGTGACAGAAACTGTTACGGGATGTCCTTCATTGAAAGCAAGAAAACTAACAAAAAATTGGGAAGGGTTTGTAACAGACATGGAGGAAATCCTAATGACCTGGCTTGACCACCAGACACAGCAGCATGTCCCTCTCAGCAGCTATGAGAAAAAATGAAAGAGTACTTCTTAGAGATAAAACATCAACAAAATGGACAGTGTGGGGTGTGTGGGCGTGGAAATGCTACGAACAGATCTGTATGGTATGATACTATTGATAAATTTTAAAGCATGTGAAACACTAGTGTAATTTTTTTTTATCAAAATTCATTAAGTCACACAAAAAAATTCACCACTGGAGAGGACCAGTGTGACTAAATACACAATACTGTAAAGTTCTTATTGGTACAAACAACATGCAATTAAAGTGTAAAGGCGGGCCCTCCTGGATGGCACAACAGGTTAAAATGCAGCACTGCGAAGCTATCTGCAGCCACTGCAGCAGGAGTTCAATCCCTGGCCAGGGAGGTGACCCACTTGGCACAGCAGACCTCTCCTGTCTCACCCGCTGCTCTCCTCAGCAGTGTACTTCAT